GGGTTGGGTTGGGTTGGGTTGGGTTGGGTTGGGTTGGGTTGGGTTGGTTGGTTGGTTGGTTGGTTGGTTTTTTGATTGGTTGGTTGGTTTCCTTTTTTCCGGTTGGTTGGTTCTTCGGTTGGTTGGTTTTTCGGTTGGCTGGTTTTTCGGTTGATTGGTTTTTGCTTGGCTGGTTTTTCGGTTGGTTGGTTTTTTTTCGGTTGATTTGTTTTCCGGCTGGTTGGATTTTGGGTTGGTCGCTTTTTGGGTTGGTTGGTTTTTGGGTTGGTTGGTTTTTTTGGATGGATTGTTTTTGGGTTGGTTGTTTTGCTTTGGGGGGGTGGTTGGCATTTTTTTGGTTGCGTGTTTTTTTTTGTCGGTTGGTTCGTTGGTCTTTTTTGGTTGGCTGGTTGGTCTTGGTTAGTTGTTTTTGTTGGTTGTTTTGTTTTTCACTTGGTTGTTCGTTTTTGGTGGGTTGGTTGGTTGGCTTTTTTGGTTGCTGGCTTTTTTTTGGTCAGTTGGTTGGTTGGTTGTCGTTGGTTGTTTGGTTGGTTGGCTTTTTCGGTTGGTGGCTTTTTCGGTTGGTTGGATGTTCGTTTTTTTTTCCGGTTGGTTGCTTTTTTGGTCGGTTGGATGCTTTTTGGGTTGGTTGCTTTTTGGTTGGATTGTTTTTCTTTTCTTTTTTTGGTTGGTTGTCATTTTTGTTGGTTGGTTTGGATTTTTGGTTGCTTGAGGTTGGCCTTTTTTGGTTGGCTGGTTGGTCATGGCTGGTTAGCTGTTGTTTGGTTGGATTGTTTTTTGGGTTGGTTGCCTTTTTTTGATGGGTTGGCTGCTGAAAGTGCAGAAGGACCTTGGCCTGGGTTTACCGTTTTGAAACACAGTTCCTGCCCTCTCCCAGTTCCCTGCTGGGTCAGAAACTTCGAAGCTGTTGAAGTAGGAGCCAAACTCCAGAAGATTCGAGCACCAACCCCTGGTTGTCGAGAGCCTTGTCTGAAAGCTCAAAGGTCTTGACATTAATTTGTTTTCTTTTCCGATATGGTGGGGTTATGGTTGGAGACTATACTCTATCTTGTGACTCCGAGATATGTTATCACCCAAAAGTGTCTTGACCTGCAGGAAGCGACCAGTTTCCTTTGGGTGGTGTTCCTTGCAGCAGAGCACACGGTCCAGAGTCTTAGTCTACTTCTCTGGTACCAGAAGGCTATCATAAGGGGTTGTGGGCTCTTTGGGGCTTGTTGGCTGACACTGGCCACAAAGTCCTTGTTGCAATAGGAGCCTTGTGGAGGGAAGCGACTTCGAGCGTCGTGGCTGTACGGGCGCCATGACCTTGGCTGAAATCTCAAAGGATCTGACAACAATTGGCACAAGCCGCGCTTGCACCCCGCTTTTTTCATCTTTTTTCCAACAGGACAGGCATATCGGACCTGGGCTGTTGCGCAACCGCATGGGCCCCGTTGGGTTCAGGCACTTCAAACACTCTCCGCAACACTCTTGTGGGATACTCTTGCAGAACACGCTTGTGGGACAGTCTTGCAGGATACGTTCCTGTGGAAAGCTCTTGTGGGACACTGTCATGCAACACTGTTGTGGGTTGTCCACTGGATTTGGATCCAACATGAGCAGAGCGTCAGAAGTTTCAGCCGCGTTCCAGCTTGCCGAGTGAACATCAATGTTAACAATGCTTCACGTGTTAGGTGGGTACAACTTTATCACGGAAAGGTCTGAGAAAGTAAACGGTGTTCAGGTTCATGAGTTCATAACTTCTCAAAGTGAATGCTAACTTGCTCCACTATTACATGGAAGTCTTGGTATTTAATCCTAGTAGCTCCAGAACTGCTGGGCTGTTAGGACAGTGGTGCAGGTATTAGCTGCCTGAAACCCACTGAGTACCATCATAGAGGAGTGCCGGACGGAACAACCATACGATAAGTCATGAGACGATCCTCATTCACGATCTACAAAGGCATGCAACAAAGAGCTGGCTTCTGCGGAATCTGAACCTTTTGCCCCAAGCGGCAAACTCGCTGCTCCATTCACCCCGAGATCTTGAAAGTGCGTTTCGACGCCGCGAGCTCGCAGAAATTGGTGTGCTGGTGCGGGTGGTCTTCTCGACTGTGATCTCGTTGTCGTGCGCAGGCGCAGGCGATTGGAGTTCGATGTGCAGATTTCGTGGCAGGCTGGTGGTCTTCGGCGCACTCTGCAGGTGCAGCGAATCATGACTTTTGACATGTGGCTCGTTTTCAGAAATCGGGGGATGTCTCGAGCGAAAGCTGCGAAGTCTTTGGAGGTTGTCTTTGGAAGTGCTCTTGCTGCGAAATGCATTGGCAGGGCTGCGCGATGTGAATCTTGAATCGTGTCACACGCAGCACTTTGTGGACCTCAAAGTGCAGATCTCGTGGCCGCAGCAGGTGCGCTCTCATATGTAGCCAGGCGAGGCGATTGTGTGCTCTTATGCATGTACTGCCAAATGTGCTCTTATACATGTGCTCTCCAGATCTCTAGACATCTCTCTCCACAGAACAACGACCGCTTCGCGCGACCTCGCGCTATATCTCGGATCTCTCAAGCTCTGTGACCTCGACCACCTGGCCTTGGTCGATCTTGAGAAAGACCATGTCTGGACTCTAGGCGTCCAGACTTCTAGAGCTTCAGACCAGGTTTCGCCAGGCCTAGAGCTCCTAGACTTCTACAACTTTAGACCTCGACCTCTAGATGTCTGCGCTCCAGACCTCTACAACTCTAGAGCTCCCAACACCTCTGGATCTAGACCTCGACCTCTAGACCCCTCAAACTGATCAGTCGAAGCTGGAACCAAAGCCTGCTGGGACAAAGGACAGACACTGTGCAAAGTGTGCCCCAGGTGGTTGGAACAGTTCCAGTTCCGGTTCAGTTCCTCCTCCTCTCCTCGCGCATCCAATCCTTTGGATCCAGAGCGATCCAGAGCGGTTTAGGGACGAAAGAAAGAGGGACGAAAGAAAGAGATCATCAGGTTCCAAAGATAGGAAGGGGGTATCAATATAGATAGGTAAGTTATTTTTTTAATCAATCATATATCATATATATAATATGTTTATTTGGGATTGGATATAGTAAGGGTCCCAAAGTAGATGGACACGCTTTTCTAATGCATTTGAACAGGAGGGAAAGCGTCTAGGCCTATCTTTACTCAGCTTCTGCATGTAGGATGAGTGAGATCACTGAAAAGGCCTTTGGTGAGCGAGATCACCTCCATTCCGAGGCCTAACATAGTCACTCAGCAATGGAGCCCTAACAGGTTGATAGGAGTGTTCAACATGTTCAAAAGCTTGAGTCAAAACCCTGGTCAAGCAGGTCAAGCTGCCATGGTTTCAAACCATGGCCGCTTGACCTGGTTGACCATGGTGGTCTGGTTGACCACCAGACTACTGCGACGAAAAAGCCGGTCATCAAGAGTACGGCGAACAGAACAGCATGACCGGCAGCTAGCTGACAGCTTTAAAAACCGGCTCTTACATACACCATGATACTGGTTTTGGGCCCCACGGCTGAGTAGCTGAGTTGCCACTCGACTACCACGTAAACCCTTCGATTGCCTTCGCCTTTCCCACACGCGTCGACCATCCCTTTAGGGCTCATCCAAACCTTTGCTTCGACACGAAGCAGGCCGGTCGGACAATCCCCAGCAGCATGCAGCGCGCGCAAGGCCGTCGCTCTCCTTGGCAGGGTCTCATTCGTCCTCCCAAAAAAAGGTTGGAATGGTTGGAAAGCATTGGAATCACCAAAACTAATCTAGACTGTTGATGAATAAAGTCGCCCATGTCAATATTGATTGATATTTTATAAAACCCCAACCAAATAGATGGTAACAGGATGTCGAAGGTCTAAGCCCTCAGAAAGAAACAAACATGGAAGTGCAAAATGGCCTGTCACACCAAGGAAAACCATCTTCCATCCGGGGTCATGTTCCACTTCCATGTGTGTTGGAGGGATGGATTCTTAACCCTCAAATGGACACCTCAAGGCGACTATAGCTGCATCATCTCAATGTCACCGCGAGTCGTTTTTGTCGGAGGGACCGGACCGTGGGCCGATGAACGTCGCACTGTTGGCATCCCCGACGCGACGTCCGGACCCTCCGTTGAGTAGGGGGCCGGACCCGAACCGTTCAGTAGGGGTGTGGACCCAAACCAATCCCAGGGTTTGCTTCGGGACCAGTCGAGCTGTGAACTCACGGAGCGTCTGGCATCAAACCCTTCGGCGTGGGACGATCCATCCGTTGGGCCACGATCCATCCGACTGATGCACGATCGGAGCGGCATGACGGGGCATGGACTCCTGTTTTCTTTTTCTGACATCCAAAACGAAAGCAACACCAACCTGAACATGTAAACACCATGTAGCGGTAGACTCTTGAATTTTCACCACCCATCATGAAGAGGTTTCTACCGTCCACATGAGGGGGGTTATTCATCAAGAGTCTACATCGGCCCCATGTTTTTGGATGATTTTGAGGTCTTTCGAAGCACGTGCCCGATGGAGCGACGGCGCTGTGCCGAGCGAGGCCGCGAGCGCAGCTTCGCGTTGTTCAAACGGGGGTCCATGGAAATCACCGAACGACCATAAACCCCCCATATCAAGAGTCTACATTACGTGGGGTTTATCTGTACCATCGAACCTCTGAAGCCAATGACTTGTGCCTCGTACTCCACATCTTGATCGAGCTTGCACTATTAGTCCAAAGCTTGCCGTAATTAGAATGGAGTGCGCAGTTGCGCGACAACCGAGTTGGACGTGCCTCGTTCCCTTTCACTCCTCCATTCGCTTTTACTGGATTTGGTTGAGTACTGATTTCTCGACCATCGCCATCAAGCAAGACCCCATCGCCATGCAGCGGCCTGCCCCAGACCATCGACAGTTGTCTTCGTTCCCTCCCCAAAAAGACCACTTAAGGCGTACGCCTCACCCACCCCAGCTGTGAGCCAGTCTATGTGCGTGCCTCCTTTTTGTTCAAACTTTGCGAGTGAGCAGTCAGTCGCTGTCATCGGCCAAAACTTTACATGCAAACCATGCGGGACACGGGACCGGAACACCCCGGTCGCGGCGCGCGAGGAGCGGACGCGGACCTCGGAATGGGGTGTTCCGGCGACGGCCTTCGGCCCGCTGCCAAAGCGGTGGTCACTTCCTGCCACGGGCCGCGTCCAACCTCGGTGCTGCAGACGTGGTTGGACGGATCACGAGACGTGGTTGGACCTATGGTTGGATCAAGCTGATCAGCCACCACGCTGAAGTCTGGATTACATGGGGCCTGCTTCATACGGCCTAGTCTGGATGGTTGATCTGACTGGAACCGCTTCCGCGCTGGTGATGCGTTCGGATTTGGACCCACCGGCGCCGGAGGGTTTCGACGGTTTCGTGTCCTGGCCACGCCCGGAAGGACGGAACGAGGACCGGTCGGAACGAGGTCCTTCCCTGGCCGAGCCTCAAAACCCTCAAAACCCCTTAGTTGAGGGTCCATGATCCGGGGTCTTCCGTCGACGACTTGGTGTTCTTCTCTTCTCCCTCCGTCCGACTTTAGCGGTTGGGACCGGGGAAACATCCAGTTTGGTTGTTTGGGCTTCGTATGCCGGGCCTAAGAGAGGTGAAAACGGCTCGTACAGGGCCGTTGAGAAGCTCCGGCTTCTGGCCCCGAGCGAAACACGAGATCTCAACCGTCTGAATCCTCTCAATTGGAGAAAAAGACAAGAGTAGGGAGTGTTCAAGGCTGTGGGTCAAAACCATGTCAAACCAGCGGACTGGTGCTAACAGGAAGGTCTGGTTCTTTCTTTTCCAGCGAGAAAATCGGAATGTGATTAGAATGAAATACGGTATGCGGTATGTGGTTTTGCTGCCACGGCTGATTTGGCTGTGAAGGCACACACCTCAAGCCAAACTCGATACCGATACTGACCGACTCTGTTGTCTTAGTCTCCCACTTGACTTGCACGAATGATCTCCCGCACCGGTCACATCATCGACACCAAAACAGACGTGGCAAGTTCGAAGCTGTTGCCACTTGGAACACATCCAAGTTTCCGGGTTTTGTGCACAAACCTACCCCTCTGTACCAAAGTGGTCTTCGCATGTTTTGACCGTGGCTCATATAGATCCCTCATCCAACCGAACGGAGAACGCAGGGTTTCTTTCCACCAAGCCGCGCAAGAAGGGTCCCTCACTCCTGTGCTCGCGCAGCCCCACCGCGGTAGCCGCCCTTGCCGTAGCGCTCGCGTGTGCCGCCGCGCAAATCTTCGCTGCCGTGGGCGTAGGTGCATTTGGGTCCCATCTTACACCAGCCAGACTGCCAGTGCCAACATGGCACCTCCTGGAGCGGAGAAGAGTCTGACCGAGAGGAGGAGGGATGTCCGGGTTCGTGGGAGTCGGAGAAATGGGAGACCAAGAAGGCTACTGCCCGTGGAAGCAACCAGTTCGATCATTGCTCTGCTAGAGAAATGGGGGGCATAGCGTCCGCCTGGCGGAAAGGACAGGTCAGTGGCTGCTCTTGGGGAGGGCATGCGGCGCATGAAGTAGGGCGAATGGGTAGATCAAGTGTGGAAGTGAATGGGTGGACTCGACTCAAAGGAGGATCCCATGTTTCAATCATTGCTTCGGTGCAGTTCTGTGCGCTCTTGCCACGAAGGTTTGCCACTGTGCCATACATGCACCATACAGAACAGCCCAAGTGCGGAAAAGAATACCCTCGGTCACTGCTTTGTCCCCCAAACCTGCACACCATTTGATACCCAAACCTGCAGGTCATCTTCCAAGAGACACAAACAAACTCACACTTCTGCAGGTGAAAGGGGCACCACCGGACCAGACCGAAGAAAACCCTCGAACCCTCCACTCCAGGTGGACTCAAATCGAACCCAAAGGCTATGGAGAACATACATCACACATCCTCTAGTTTGGAAGCGAGTTACCCCCTCTCGCCTTGAAGCGAGGGATCACGAAGGCCAACATATCATCTGCCGCCTGGCACAGCGCCCCGTCGGACTGATGATGCACCTGGCGGCGGGACTCGGCGGAATCGGTTCGGGTGCTTTTGGATCAAACAAATTGGAGCTTTTAACCTGCTTGGAAACAGCATTTCTGCTTTCATAGAGGTTCGCTACCTTTGTTCCAGTTTCTTCAACGGTAGTAATCCAGAGATTTCTCAAACACAAAGTACTATATAGATAGAGAACAATCCGGCCTATTTCACCTCCAACCTCCTTGGGTCTCCTTTCAATCTGAAGCGACTCGTCCGGTACTCGTCATGCCCCACTCACCTATTTCACCTATTTCAGCACCTATTTCAGCACCTGGAACCGCCGCAACCGCGTTCTCCGGAAACCACGTCCCGGCGTTTTGCGTGGATTTGGGGCGTCCCACTCCCGCCACTCCCGAGATCGCCTTGGCTTGAAGGCCGGCTTCTTGGATCGAAGTCCGCTGGGTCTTCAGGCTCTCTTGCCAAAAGTATCGATTCCTCAGATCGTTGGTCTGTTCTGAGCGATGTCAGGGATTTCAGGAACGGGACACTCGTCTCGAGGTTTCTCTGTGGACTTGTTGGGGAGGTTTCCTCTGTTTTGGGCCTGGGGCGTTTGCTGCGTGTGTGGCTGAGTTTGGCACCTTTGAGGCGTGTCACTGGCATCTTTATGGCGCTTCTTAAGTTGAGCTACTTGATACACGCAGGTAGAATTCTTGGAGAACCCTAAACCATCCCAAACCAGGAATTTAGCCAGTTATGGACATACATTGGAATACCTGCCACCGACCACCTGTGTATTTTGATGCAACAAATACTGAACAGGTGTGACAGACGGACAATGACAGCTTGTGACAGCTGACAGCTTGTATCGGCAAAACATCGACCCGGTGTTTAAGCGAAACACAAAAATCGAAAACACCATTGAACATCGAAATTTGGAGTTGTTTCCGTGTATCTTTAGCATACTTTTCTAGCTTTGTTTAAGAAAAAAAACACATAGGACCCGTGTGTGAATGGTGCAGGCGGGTCAAACCGTTCGATTCGTAGCACCCGGTCCGGCGCAACGTCACAAATAGCCGCCACCGTCACGTGTACAAAGCCCAAATGGCCCGGCTGCCACAGGGGGTTGAACCTCTACAGTATTTGAATGTTTGTTGGTGGTTTCTGTTGCCAAAGCCTTTGGGAAGGGCGATAGCCAAATTGGTATACCCCTCGGGTGGTTGGGTTGTTTAGGAAGCAAAGTCGCTAGAACCACAGAAATCACAGTGATACAGTGACGTGTTCCAACTCATAGTGACTATGTCATAGTGTGGAGGAAGAGGGTTTTCTTCCCGGGTTTGACTCAAACCCGTCGGTGACGTCCTGCTGGTTTTTTTGTCCCTTGTGACATCCGGGCTTCGAAGGAGATTTCGGGAGCTTGGGCATCAATTCTCCAGATGAGGCGGCCGTTTCTATCATGATCTATTACATCATCAGCACTCCAACAACTGTCTAACAGCTCCTGCTACCTGCCGTGAAATAGGACATTTAGCAGCTACAGCTAGGTGCAATGGTCCCAGCACGCCAAACGAGCTAACTTCATCCAACAGTTGAAGGGATTGAAGAGAAAAACACCATTCAACGACCTTTAGAGTTGAAGGGTAAGACATTCAAGTGGCCGCCAAAGATTGCGAAGATTCCATGAAAACATCTTGAGTTCCTCATGAATTCAA